AGCGAAGTGTGAAAGCCATTACCAGCAAACTCAGCTGCGCTGGTAATTGCCGTCCTCGTGGATGGGGACCCCGAGACGGGCCACATCAATGGCTGAAGACATTGTCAGACATGGCCCAGTCGCGCCCTCAATGGCGCTCCTGCATCAAAGCTATTGCCTTCAATGCATAGCTCCTTTTCCACCCCCCACTTGACAGCCCACTGACAGTGCTGGATTTATGCACCAACTTACCAGCTCGTGCCTGCAATGCGCAGCTACCTACCCCCTCCCCCAAATCATCGGTGAACGAAACCGCGGCAGATGCAACCAGTGTACGACGAGTACGCGGTTGTTACAGCTGATAGTGATGATGATGACCTTAGTGGATGTCACGTATACATCCTCCTATGGGTCTCAGAGGCCCACAAGCCATCAGAACACTGTACGGCCGAAGATTTTCGTGGCGGACTGAAGTTTATGAATCCCGAGAGATTGAGAGCTCCACGGCTGTTTCACCCTTATTAAGGATTGTCAACAGTGCACGTCTCACAAACCTTCGGAAAGACCTGGACCCATACCCTCTGGTCATTAGTCGAACGCTACCATGTAGCTATGGCTGATTGGTCACCAGTCTGACTGGCTCGCGCTGAGGCAGGATATATTGCTACTCGTCTTTCAACCACGCAGTTCACGCCACCTGATTAGATGATTGGCTCATCAGCTGATGAATTCTAGGAGAGACCGCAACTTGATTGATTGGCGACCAACGAACGAAACAGCCATAAAGTATTACTTGGCTTCTCAACGAATGTAGACCATCTGAAAGAAAAAGTCCAGTTTACTTTTGAAAATGGCGCAATACAGAAGCAATATAATGCAGCGTTTGTGTGAATGAAACCACGATCCCGACCACTCTCCAGGTGGTCAGGCCTAGGGACGTGATTGGACCCTGGGATTGTGCCACCCTCATCGATGTGCATGTGCAAATAACGCGTTAGATTGTGGTGGACTTACGGGTAGGTCGATGGCAAGCGAGCGATGGCCACATGAAATTTGCCCAACACATGTTCGAATAACGGATGAAAATTACCGGTTAACTCCTCTGGCTGTGTTTAGTTTTCCACTGACGTTCAGCATCAAGTCAACTCAGAAAAACATTAACTTGAGTTCACTTAACCTTAATGGACCGAAGAAATTTCATACGCTGTGCACTTTACTTCCGAATAAGATGCATATATGGTGCTCCTTTTAATTTCAATTTAAAAGCTTAGCAACCCGCGCTATTTCCGCAATTTTTTTCGTGAGCTTCATGCAGGCCTCTTATCAGTCGTCAAGCCTGTCAGCACGCGATCGGTATCGAATAACACACACAGAACATGTGTGGTAACCTTATTTATTTTTAGTCGTTAAGCCTGTCAGCACGCGATCGGTATCGAATAACACACACAGAACATGTGTGGTAACCTTATTTTAGGGGCTCGAGGTAGCTTGGTGGTTAAGGCACGAACATATTATTCGGAAGGTTTGAGGTTCGAACTCAACCTGTGCATCCCAGCTGTTCTTGCCTTGGCTTGGGTAACCCGGAAGTATCTCAAAGCTTGTGTTTGCTTCGGGTGGCATGGCACCGGAAGGGTGTCACAGTTAAACGATTATTATTATTATATTATTATTATTATTATTATTATTATTATTATTATTATTATTATTGGCCTTTGATGTTAACTTTGTATTCCAGCAGCTGCTATAAGTCTTCAGGACATGGTTGTCGATTACTGACCTCGAGCCCATTCAGCAAACAAACATGTAAACGTAATGCACTACTCATAAGATAGCTGAAAACTCTTCGACAGTCTAAGGCCAGTTTCGCCCTTCTTGAGGCTTATCAAGTAGGCGTAGTCCTCGAATTTCCGTCAAATGTATGTTCTACTTGAACCCAATTTACACGAAATCAGCGAACTACACTCAGTCACATATCCATTCGGTTTTGACGGGAGATCCACCTGGAACCCAACGGGGCGAGATGGCCCAAGTGGCTAGAGCGAGAATTTACTAACTGGAAGGTCCGTGGTTCGAATCCGACCTCCGCCACTCGACTTCCCCTGTCTAGGCTTGAGCAACCTGGCAGCATCCCAGCCTTCGTGCTTCCTTCGGTTGGCATGGCAGCTAGGCACCGAAAGGGGGCTACAGCTGAACGCTTTCTTTCTTTCTTTCTTATAGGTTGTAAGAGCAGTTTCTAAGGTGGAACACGTAGATTTAGTTCAATTTATCAGCTATAAACCGTGCACCATGGGCACATTGGTTCCAGATGCTACAGTTCCGATCACTGAAAAGTGCGAGAGTGTGGGAGATACAGTCAAGCCTTAGAGGCGGCAGCCTGTTTGGCTCATTGAAGGCGATGGCTTTGATACTCGAACACCACTGACTGAGCGATTGGACCGTTTCTGTCAGTGTCATTAACGATTGGTGGGTTGAGTCCCGGGGACCCCATCCAAGGAGACAGCAGTTGTCGACCCGGCTAAGTCTACTGTTTAGTGTTTTTACGCTCCGTCGCCAGGTCATACACTGTCCATTCCTCGGTCGCTTCCACTCGATACAGGGCTGGGCGAAGAGAGTTTTATGAGATCTTTGTGAGACAAACGGTATTCTGGCATGCGGAGTACATGTCCTACTCAGCGTAACTTATGGACCGTGAGCAGTTCGTCTATCGAGCGAGTCTCTTCTTTATAAGACCATCTGGCGTTCCGCAGCACTGCCAATCCGATGTTCCATCAGATCCTTTTGAGGACCGGGATGACGTACGAGGAGCTCCATTCGGCTGATATTCTGTTTTCATTTCAAATCTGCAGTATGGTTTTCAGACTGTTCACAAGGATCTCAGCACTTTCCCTGAAGAGTGCGAGGTGTAGGCTATCCGTGTCATGTGACTTGTTGCACTTGAGGATTGAAATCTCACGCTGGATTTCGGTTGTTGGCCGCAGGCTGGTTTCGATTTTTATTCAGGCCCACCTGGTTTTTCGATTTGCTCACAGCTGGACTGTTCTCGGAAGTGCTCAGCCCGTCGCACAAGACGACGATTTCGTGAGCGAATTGCCGTTCCGCCTTTTTCGCATATCCTTTCGCTGACATTTGCTTTATTTTGACCGGTTGACCAAATTGGCTGAAACAGGGCCTACAGCGAAATGCCTCTCCATCTCCTGGGCCTCCAAAATCCACCAGCGTTCTCTGTCATTCTTCAAGCTCCTGATTATCCGGTGTTTGCGGGATCTACGTGCACCATCACAGTTGCTTGTTGCTGGTATGGCCTTTCTGGTAGCAATAAGATCTACTGATCTCGACGATTCATGGTCGAGTCGGATTGCTTGAACAAAACAGTTTTAAAAGATGAGAGCATGGCTTCTTTGACTCGCTTCCATTCAACCTCTGAGCAATCTTCGTCATCCGCATGACTGTGCATTTCCGCTAGCTTTCTAGCCAGGTCAGCTCGATACACTTGAGCTACTGAAACTTGCCGAAGTTGATGAATGGAACTGTTCTGCTTGGCACACGTAATGCTGATGAATAGCAAAGCGATAACCAGGCTCGCACAAGGGCATGATCATACTCCAACTGCGTACCCCAGAAGGAACGACAATCTTTAACTGAGGTTCAGTCCCAGAACTTCTTTGTCGGGACGTATGCCGATATGACGAATGAACTCCGTCTGCCACATCGACCCGAGTTGATCTTAATTTAGCCAGACGTAAAGACTACTGGGATCTACTCCAGTAGGGCTCTTTCAGCCTTATGGCTGAGTGCAACTCCCACGTTGTGGATACCATGAACCATTGCGACAGGATCACCAGATACGCAAGAGTGAAATGTGGAACATTTGAGCTCATCCTAATTAGCTTGAGGTGCACAACTGAAGTGAGGTCTTGTACGAGTGTTTCGGAGACCCACCATACATCGACAGAGGGAATCAAAGTTNTCAGCAGGAAGTGCCTGTTGCCCAGTTTGACACACTACGAGCATTGAAGGCTGACAGGTGGATCAGATCTCCCGAGGTTGGTAAGAGTTCATTTAGGTTTGTTTTTCTAGATGATAGTTTTCACCCGGAACACAGTCTAGGGGACTGGAAAACGGGCTGATCGCACTGCATCGTTCAATAGGTGGGGAATGGATGTAGCGGAGGGCCGGCGAGCCAAGGGCTGCAAAGGGCGAGTGTGACTTCCAGGTTGCCTAAGCCGAAGAAGAGGGCTTGGTTAAGGTACCTCACCTTGAGCTTTTGACTAAAAAATCTGAACCGTGAGGCAGTGGTTATCAGCGTTTTGTTGAGGAACCTTTCTCAGAGCCGGTGACTCAACAGTCTGACACACCTGACTGCAAATGGCAAGCCTGCTCCAAGGACGGAGGGAGTGGGGTATTACTGTTTCACTCCTAATGCAGCTGCGCACAGCAGGTGCCTTTTGAGCAGTACCGGACTCTTTGGTTTTGAAACTATTTCGACCGTATTGAATAATTTGCCGGCGGTCATGGTCGACCGTTGGACGATCGGAGTGTGCGGTTTTGGGGATCGATATTCTCTAATCTGTCCTTCCTCGGCGGAAGCCAGAATCGCTGCTTTCTTAAGTATGGGTTTATTGGTCATCTGAGGGAAACGTCTAACTGCCTCCACACTTTTATCGCAGAGGACAGTACAACTTTACCTCCAAACCACCTCGCAATACGATTCTCCACAGTACGGATACTCAATGCGGGTTGTCTGCTCCCAGTTGGCCTCCCTGGCATGGTTGAACCGTTAGGAACTGAGTTCTAGCCACTATAGCCCGGATGATCATTGCGGCACAGAAGCCCGACAACCATGACTAGGTGATAGCATTAGTTCAGGTGAAACGCTCAGAGATTGATATCGTTTTGCTTAGATTCAAAGTGGCGCTATTCGCCAGTTCTTTGTCACGAAACTCACAAAGCATCTTCGACTCAAATTATTTGCGTAAATCCACCCTCGTCAAAGGTGCTCATAGTGAATTTTCACATGCTTAGACGTCTATTATGAGGTCTGGAAGTAGTATCTTGTCCCTAAGGAACATGATCATTCGTCTTTCGCTGCTGGGGGGCGAGATGGCCTAAGTGGTTAGACGCGAATTTACTGACCGGAAGGTCCGTGGTTGGTATCCGAACTCCGCCCCTCGACTTCCCGTGTCTAGGCTTGGGCAACCTGACAGTATCCCAGCCCTCGTGCTTCCTTCGGGTGGCTTGGCAGCTAGGCACCGGAAGGGTGCTACGGCTGAACGCTGTTAGGAAAAAGCCATTAGGTTAACCTGCAAAGTGAGGTCAATTTTTGGAGCTCTTAACCTCCACAGTAGAGCACTTTTAGAGCATTTCTTAAGCCCCACTCACAGACATTTGTGAGGCCGTTTCAGAAGACTAACTTGGAGTTGCGCATAAAGCGTCCACTTTTCTCCCCAAACCGTCCTATCACCTTGCATCCTAAAAGAGGACGCATAAGCAGTCGGGGCCACTCATTTTCTTGCTCCTAGTTCTGAAGTTATCATGTTTTTTACCTTTCCGTTTCAGTTCATATCCTCTTGCTTGCTGAACACTTCGTTGTTACTCAGGCTAGCAGATGGATGCTACTTCAATTTATAGCAGAACTACAGAGAACAGAATTCGCCGGACAGATCAACTAGTGGTAAGTCACTTATCTTCATGCATTGCCGTCCTAATCGCGAGGATTCGTATATTTCAGTTGTATACTTTGAATCTCCCACAGTGTTTCTCCTGAAGTATACTTATTTGGAGCCATACGCTTTTTACCCCACATTTACAAACTATATTGCTTTATGTGAAACGGATATAATAATAATATAATATAATATATCGTAGTAACGATTGAGTGGACATTGGCTCTAGCGCTTTTTGCATTAATATCTTAACTACTCGAAATGTAGATGCTTTCGTTGGATAGTATTTATTTTGGGAAGGATGCGGGACAAATGAACGAGTGGAAACTATCAAGTGCGTTCAGTGTAAGCAATGTCACCTCTGATTCACTTTTTGGTTTTGCTGAGTAAGCTTCGTCCTCCATGTTTTCAATGCAACTCGCACCACCGTCTGCCATTTAATACTTGATTTGGGTCGACTCTGGAAGTAGTTCTCGAAAATGGCGTATTCGTTGAAGCTCACATTCGCTGGGGATTTCCATATCACTATCACCATCCTGTCGCGCTGCACCTGCACCACCACTTAAAAAGCCGCACGTGACCAAGCATTTGCCTGTTGTGTTAAACCAAAAAAGGAACAATATTGATAACTCATTTGAAGCACTTCCATTTCGTCAGGGACGTCCTCCAGTGCATTTACTGTTTTGGTAAACTATTCTTATGGGTTAGTTTTGTGGAGTGAATAGTTCCTGCATCCGGTGATTGGACTTTGTATTGAGTATTAAGAAACAAAAACTGCAGTTGGTCTTGTCCCACTTACACGGCTGTCAACAAAAGACGACAGTATTTCTCTTTGCGAAGTCCTTGTCAAGAAGACAAATCTGGGATTCAAATACATTTCTAGCCCATGGTAGATCTCTCTTTGGTTCCAATCGTACGCTAGTTCGTTCCGTGTTGTGGTTTTATCAAACCCCTCAATCGTTTGATTTTCCCCACCACTACGAGTGATCACTTTACACAGCAGCGTTCATGTCACCAGTAGCATTGCTCGACCTCAATTCCTTAATTCTTGCACAAGTATCCTCTTTACGAAGAAAACACATCGGGACACAGCTCTGAAGTAAACTCGTGTTCCACCAAGTTTGTTAGCAGTTTTTGCTCCGTAACCCTCACACAATTCCGACCATTAAACCACGGTTCCTGTCAGAACCTCGACACAGTAACTTATTCCGAAACGCTTTTGCTTTTTATACGAAGATTTCCTTAAACTTTTGACCCTTTACAGTGCGCACCAATTAGCATTTCTGACCGCGTGATTGGTATGTTTATTCGTCCTGTTTCCTACAGTCGTTCCTCCGTTTAGAGTGCCACTTTAACTGGCCGGAAGGTCTATCGTTCGAACCCGGCCTCCGCCTCTCGAATTCCACTGTCTAGACTTGGGTAACCAGTAGTATCTCAGCCCTGGTGCTTTCTTCGGGTGGTATGGCGGATGGGCACCGGAAGGATGTTACAGCTGAACGATTGTCTTTTTATTTTTTATCTACAATCACTCTTGGACTCCGATGTCGATATCCTCAAGTTTGCCCCTTTCGGTAGTGCAGTTCCTCCAGGTGTCAGAGACCCCTTAGTTCCACTGTCGAAGTGCTTGACGCTTGTTTTTGCTAATGTTGCGTAACCTGGTTTTATTGAACAAGCTATTTGCCTCTAATTCTCTCGGCTCTATCACTCTTAGCTTTGCTCTGAGTTATTACGGTCACGAGCGCGAGAATAAGAGTCAGTTTTTTGTTTTGCGTGAGGTCCTTGTCAGTGAAAAAACTGATCAAGGTATGCAGGATATGCAGATATGGGTGGGTGTGTGTTACCCACGTTGTCGTCACTTCGAGCGTACTGCGGTGAGATTATCATCATTCCGTAGTTTGGGAATATCCGGTGGACGCAGACAAACACGACTGTCGCTGTTCAGTGGCGATTCGTGAACTAGCAGAATCCTTACGACAGACCCAAAGTTCGGGTGTGCACAGATTCTATCGTTTCGATTATCATGTGCGGTATCCTAGAGGGCAACTGTCACGACTAATCCTGTTTCCCACTACTAGGGGCGAGATGGCTCAAGTGGTTAGAGCGCGAATTTACTGACCAGAAGGTCTGTGGTTCGAGTCCGACCTCTGCCTCTCGACTTCTCCTGTCTAGGCTTGGGCAACCTGGCAGTATCCCAGCCCTCGTGCTTCCTTCGCGTGGCATGGCAGCTAGGCAACGAAATGGTGTTACAGCTGACTGTTTTTTCCCACTACTATTGCTCCGTGTGCAATAAACCCTGTTATTTCCCCCTGCAGTTTGTTGCGTGTATAGTGAACACTTTCATGTCGGAGAGAACAGACGACCGTTTTATCGCAAGTTACTCTCGTGGGAGACACCTTATCTTTTGTGATGCAAATAAATTTGAAACCGGGCATTGTGGTCTCTTCTTAGAAACGCTCTTTTCAAGGGGTATGTGTGCAACACTGTAGTTCATCACTTAAGGCAACACTAGTAAGTCATGCCTCATATAATTTATTCAAAGAAGACATCGTTGTAAAAAAAGAAAGGTCAGTAGGACTAAAGGAAATAACCTAGTGCTAGACTAGTGCATCCATCTGACATTAAGCTGATACTTATAAACACAGACAAAATCGGTATAGGAGCTGGCAAAATCAGTGCTAGTAACATCGTTCAGTATCTCGAGCCAAGCACAACCGTTCTTACATTGTTCTGCGTGACCCACACTTTTGCACTCGTTTTCACACTTCAGAGGAGTTACGTGTTTGCCGCTATCCGCTCGTACTACCCAAATTGGACAACCAATCACATACTTTACTTTCTAAGCTCACAACTCACACAGAATGTTCTGTTCATCAAAGGTACAATACTACTCATAAAACCAGTGAAAACTCTGGGTGGCGCACTACCGTTTTCACCGTTCTTGGGGTTCGTCCGGTGGCCTAGTCGTCCTTTATTCCATCGTGAATACCAAATTGTATGTATGTTACGATAAACGCTGAGTTTCCGCTGAATCTCTCGTGCAGCACCTTTGGTTAGTAAGTGTCATAAACGAGGGATTCAGGTGAAATCCATCTGAGTCTCCCATTATTGCCAACTCAATTCATGAGCGAGTGTCTATCGCAGCGTATTGCACACTTTCCCCCATCGTCATAGTTCTTCCACGTGACTGACTTGCGCACAGTGATTAAGACCACTATCATTACTTCACTGTACCTTCACTTGGGACTGCTGAGGTGGCTCCACTTGTGCCTATGGGGCAAACTCGCATCCTGACTTGCGTCCGTTTCCGATGCTTGTTGGCTACTACTAATATCGGCTGCCCTGAAGCGACGTTCGTTAGTCTATTCTCTTCTGGCAACACGATCCCCTTCACAGAAAAGTTACGCCTACTTTACAACAAGGTCTTGATGTTTAGCACCGAGTTTGCTACCCATACTCCAATTGTTAGTGCTGGTGACGGTGCGATTGAAGCATCAATTTCGTTTACCCGAAGTGCCACTGTTAGTGGTGCTGATGCAACAGAACGAATTACTTTGAGAGAACACATGCTAGTAATAATAAATTGTACGGATGAATTTGCAAAAAACTTCTAAGGTCATCAGGGTTTCTAGTGCTGAAGCCAGAGTTAGTTTGCTTTGGAAAAGACCGTTGGTAGACTTCCGTCAGCTGCCTCACACCCAGGACACTCTCCTGCGCCATTACTTCGGAGTAGTCATTATTTCAACGTTGGACATATGCGATGATGAAGGTATGAGGGAAAGTATGGGGGGACCAACGTTTTCGAAAAAGTTTGGTCACAACCGGTAGATTTATTGCTGGGCAACGTTTCACCTTTGACACAGGCTTTGTCAGGCCAAGTGACTAGGTTCCGAGGTTGGTCGAGATTCAAGGCGGAAGAATAGCCAATCAGCTAAGGTAAGCTAAATCTTTGCTGGTTGTCGGTCGATGGATTTTCGTGTGTTAGGGTGAGTGAACAAGTGTTGGATCGATGGGGAAACCTACATGTGTTTAGGTCCAGCCTAGGCTATAGTGATTCTGGTTCGGTCCATTTGATGGTCCATCTTGGACGTCGTTTTAATTTTCTGTCCGTGTGTGTGGACGAGCCAGTGCTAAGATAGTTGTGTATGAGGGACCAACTTCTAAATTGCTAGTCTATGGGTTTTGTCACCTGTTTATTTTACGTGTATAGGATTGGTGGTCCATTCATACCTGTAATTGTGAATAATTTTCGTTATCTTTCCCCCACCCCGAACCCCCTCTTAGTAATGGGGACTTCATTTTCCGCCTTGGATAAGCATGGAGGTTGTTACAACTTCGGTGTGAATTTGGGTTCGAAAACGCCTTCGAGAAGAAATCCCAACCAGTGGTTTTCCTCCACGGTCTTGCCGACCTCTGTCCAATCCGCGTGCAACACTTGTCGCATCCTTGCAACTGGTGTGGCTTCTTCAGGTTGTGGCAGGGGGCTTCAGCCGGCTGATCCCATCTGTTCAGGTCCAAACTGCCCTTGTGGCGTTTCCTCATGGCTCCATACTGATCCCCTATTACCATCGGGGAATTCCAACCAGGGTCAACAAACTATATCAAGTCTACATTCTACGTCGGTGCCTTCGTCTGATCAAGCCTCTACAAGAACCCCCAGGAGAACCAGCACGACGCAGCCACGCTAGGTCCTAG